TAATACAGTCAGGCCATCTGATGTATTGCAGGCATGTTAGTCAGCCTGTGTTCCATCTGGCACTAATATAGTCCAAGTATATCCAATTCCATATCAATTATAAGGGGTATTCCATAATTCATGGTAAAAGCAAACCAAGAACAGACATTGGAATAATTGGGAAAATAAATGTTTCATTTACAGCAATAAAGCCATCCTGCAAAGTCAGATACATAGCTGTTTTTACTTTTAATTATGTTTAGACATCAGAGGACAATTACAGCGGTGATTTAACCTTACAAAACACACACATGCAGAGATTTCAAAAATGAGACCTTGATTATACAAATTGCACAAGCTATGTGATGCGAACTTTATATCAATAATAGATCCATCTATCCACTAACAGAATGCTGCTTTGCCTTTGAGAGTTACGGTAACCCAGAGATTATCCTGCAAACACGGAATCCTTAACTTTATCCTTTGATTAAAAGATTAATTAATAGCTGATTTCCCTTCAGAACTGTCAACATGACAGTTCAAATTCTGAAGATAAATTAATAAAAAGTAAGTATTATTGGCAAAATACTAATAAAGCCATCCTGCATCATCTAAACTCCTTCTCTAACCTCTCTCTAAACTCTCCTTCTCTAAATTCCTTTAAATCCAGACTCAAAACCCTCTTCTTCAGAAAAGCCTTTACTAAACTGGTTCCATTCTTCACCCCTCTGCTCTTCTTAGTACCACCATCCACGGTCTCCTCTGTATATTGTAATTGTGTCTTATCTTGAGTATTCTCCCTATTTATTGTTGTTGTCATCCTGTAAAGCGCTTTGAGAAGCCACCTTTAAAGGCGCTTTATAAAATAAAGTTTTTTTTTATTATTATTATTGTTCTTTTCTTTCTTCCAGTAAAACTATGTAAAGGGAAATTATTAATTAACTGTTTTAAATTTCTTCCAAAAACATTGTAATAACTAACACTAAAATGCCACAGAATAGCCAAAAACAGCTGCTAATAAAAGCACATGGGAAAGATATTCATGTTACTTGGAATATTCTGGTTGAATGTCCAAATGTTTGCACTTGCTGGAGTGAAGTAGGTGGAGCTGCTATCAGATAAAGCCCAACAGATGCAGACTGCAGAATTTCTGTGGTATTAATACAGTGTCTTGCAGTTCTAAAGAGGGACATGTTTAGTTGACATTCCAAACTTGGTTATTCTGGAGATGGACATCATTTCCTATGAGGACAAAAGGCTTCTTGTTTGACTGTTGAGTTGTTTCCCCCACAAATGTGCAACTGTTGAAATGACATTGCAGTACGAGTTATTGCTAAAGAAGGAACTGCACTTTACGTTACTTATTTAGAGTTGTAAATTAGAAGCGAGACGTTCCAATCTGCGTTCTAAAAGCATAACCAGTTTTATAGGTCTTGCTGCTTATTTTATAAAAACAGTCAAAATACAAATGGTGTACTGAAGGTTTCTTTATTAGCAGCCGTTCACCGCTAAATAAATACAATAGCGACTTGAGGAATCATGATGAATGTTAAATGAGACACATGCAAAATTGTATAGTTTAGTGCAAATGGAGATGAGACTATATTCCTATTTTCTTCACAGTCAACCCATAACATAGATAAAATATAGTCTTTAATAAAAAATACATATCTACAAAAATAATGATGTATTGCAGAAATAAACAAACAAATAAATTCTGAAGTGGATTTCAGTGGTCATAAACAAAACCTTCTCTTAGTTCATAACAGTTTCATATTCTAGTACACAGTATATACGAAGTCTCAATATGCTCCATGTTTGGTTTGTGAAACCACAAGATACACACTGTTCATAACCAACTACAGAAGAACTAAAACAGACTTCCAGGGAGGAATTTTGTTGGGTTACCCATTCTTGTTAGGCAAGATACCACACCACTTAACATGCACTATTACTGAACGTTGTTTACTAAGCACATTGTCACACATGGATTCTGTGAGCTTCTGAATACAGTTAACATCACAGTGCGAAACAAATGGTTAGTGCATTGTTAAAAGAATGGAAAATATTTGGTTAACAGGACACTGTGGACATCCTATACTTGGACCAGAAACAAAATAATGTCATTGAAGGATTAACAAAATGATCCTAAGATCAGAATTGTTTCAGAAATAAGATTAAGATGAAGCAACCATTCAATATGAAAAATATTACAATGCTACAATTAAAAACAAGAGGTGAGGTATAGCATCAGCTTAGAGAATATTTGCTGTACTTGAAATAATTCTCTACAAAAACATTCATGGATAATTGCTGGTATTCCAATGTTAGCGTTACAGTTTTTGATGTTACATTAAGTTATACAGCAAAACACAGAAAAATAAATATCATAAATAAAGAAGAACATTGAATTCCTTGATAAATTATGCATTTACACAGTGTTACAAAGAATAGAATCTGAAGATCTTACAAAAATGTGTATGTACAAATGACTATACAAAAGTTGCTTAACACCAGATGCACTTTGCTGTGCTTGTTCTTTTTAAAATCCTATGATGTGTCTAATATAGATAACAAAAGGAATTTTGAAATCAATGTGGTGTGCTCCTCTTGGATGATTTTGTAGTAATGATGAAATATTAACTTTTCACATTTCATTTAAAAGCCATTACTATAATCGGCACTTTTCAATTTAATTTCTGTTGTCTGTTGTCTGTCTTGTGTATGATTTCTTTGTCATTTGTACTCAGATTGTCACAATGTTCCATCATTATGACAGACTAGATCAGTATAAATAACAAGTTATACATTTCCTAAAAACTATGTTATGTTTCTGTTGCATAAGAACATAAGAAAGGTTACAAATGAGAGGAGGCCATTCTGCCCATTGAGTGCATTTGGTAGTTAGTAGCTAATTGATCCAAGGGTCTCATCCAGCCGTTTCTTGAAAGAAGCCAGGGTTTCAGCTTCAACAATATGGCTGGGTAGTTTGTTCCAGACTCCCACTACAAAACCCTCTGGGTAAGGCGGTGCCATTTGTTCTCAGTTTTAATTAGTTTCCACTTGTGTCCCGTGGATTGTGTTTCACTCTTCATTCTGACGAAGTCCTCTGGGTTGACTTTTTCATGCCTTTGAAGTTATTGAATACTTGTGTGAGGTCCCTTTATTGTCTTCGCTGTTCAAGACTAAAACGGTTCATTTCCTTCAGCCTGTCAGTGATGAACATTCCTCAGTATGTCCCAAGATAAATCTGGTTGCTCTTCCCTGGACTGATTACAAAGCAAAAATATACAGTATTTTCTAAAATGCGATGACCAAAGTTGTACACAATATTCAAAATGAAGTCTTACTCTTGCAATATACAACTTTAACATTTTATACTTAGGTTAAGTTCTTTCCTTTAGGCTGCTCATCAGTACTTAGAGGTGTCCTAGGGCCTAGGAGACACACAAAGACTCAAGCGCCCTGTCCATCTTTTGTTTTAGACTGTAGTTTATCACTATTTGTACACTTTGCTAACATAGGGATCTAACAAACCATGCTTGAGGTCCCAAGAGGGATCAGTAAGAAGCTCAGCAAATACAGAGGAATCTGAAATATGTCAGTACTGAAGTGTATCAGTGCAACTCTGTATCGGATTTGATAAAGGAAGCAATTAACAGGGCCCACAGTCCGACAAATCTTAAAGTCTGGAAACTTGAAACATAGAAACCCTTTGACCTTTCCAGGCAATAGTTCTT